TTTTTTTACGAAACCAAAAAAGGATCTTACCGTGTATCGAGGATAAGATCCTTTTTAGGTTTTGTAAAAAACCGCTTTTTTAGAGTGTATATATATATATATATATATATATATGAGTGCTTCCTATTAAAATGTTGTCTGTAAAATTATGTACTGAACGATGAACACAACTATTGCTATTGACTGAAGATTTATGAAACAGATGAGTAAACAATAAAAATGTGCCATACTTTCTTCAATCACTTTTAGTGGACAAGTTAACAAATATATAAGAATATATATTTAGATGTAATTGGTTCCGGATATTTGGAACCGAACCGAACCGGTCCGATCACTGACGCATTTAATACGTTCCATGCGGCGTTTTCTAGCAATTTTAAAAAATACTGATGTGTTTATAAACTTTTGCTCATCTTGTTTACGTGAGACTATTATGCGTTTCCATTCCTAGGAACGGAATGCGACATCCCTAGTATAGAAGTATGCATCTGCATTATATCTACAGGGAGGAAAATGATTGTTGTAGCATTCATTTATACTATCCAACTTTAATGACACAATGTGTGCAGTCATTTGACGAACTTAAATACTTATATTCTCGCACAACTATAAACGTTAAACAGTCTTACTTTTAAAGTGTTATACAGTTGTGATGACATTTTTCGAAATATGATTTAAAAGGGAGATTGAAGTACAGAAGTAGAAATTTGAAACATTTCCCAATGCACGGACCGTGACAAATAACATCATGAAAACGTCACAGATCGTAAAGAACATACTGACGAAACTGAAGTCTGCTACTGGATTAGTGTGAAATACGAACGAATTTAAAATGTCTGAGCTTTATTCTTCTTTTACACTCATTATAACAAATTTTGATTAACAATTTTCATCCTTGGTATGCTCTAATGTCAGATAGCACTATATCAGTGAAGAGTATTGATAAAATTTCGCATTTATAATGTAAATAGCTACATCATTTTTCACATTTTAATATCGCAGAGACTGTAATGAGAGCCCTTTTTACCGTAATTGCCTTCTTACAACTGATGCACTAGTATTTTCGGTTTGATATTGAATTGATTGTAGAGCGATTATAATAAGAGTTCTTACAGTCATGATTTTTTTTGTCAAGTGTAATCGATCAAAAAATAATATGGGTGTGGTCACTTGGACTGATATCCTTTGATTTATTCGTTTATATGGCTTCAACGACATATGAATAACTTTTGATTTTTTTACTAGTTGTAGTACATATATAATGTTAATGATCTGGTACGGTTTGAGATATATGTATCAATAAGAACGAGAGTTGTTAAGTATTTTCTTATAATCATTGTGTTAAAGATACTGCGGGTGACGTACTTTTCGTCTCAAGTCATTCCGAACTCCGGACATGTGTCCGGGTGTTCGGAAATGAATTTTTGTCCTTAAAGATTTATGACCGGAGTTCATAAACGTTTTTGTACAGGAGATCGTAATAGAAAAGCAGGAAAGTCGGAATGGTGTGACCGGGTGTTTGGAATAGAATGCTTCTTGCTATATTTGATGTAGCAATCAGAGATCGTAATGAACAAGGTTGGATGTTCGGAATGTATGTCTAATGGTATTTTTACAGAAAAAGACTGGAAGAATAGAATGGCATTGGCAGGAAGTTCGTAAAAGAATTTACTAGGAGATCGTAACGGATATAAAGACTTTTCTTTCTGTTTTTGTACCCAAGAATGACTGTAAAACAAGCGTGTCGCTTCACAATCTCTCAAAGGTGAGTAAATCTCAACATAGTTACGAATATCCTGCCGTTGTCATTCCGAACACCCTGTAGTTTTCATTAAGACCACTCTGTCTTTGTCATTACGAACTTCCGGACTTTTCCATTCCGATCTCCAGTCAAAATTTCGCTGTTCAACCAGTAACAATGAGTTATCAGAGTTCGTCACGAACTTCTGGACAAATTTCATTCCGAACATCCTGATTTTTGTTATATTTCATTGGCTTTTGCTATTGAGAACTCCATTCTGAACACCCTGTCTTTTTTCTTATGTCCGGAGATCGTAACGGACTATTTCAACCGGAGTTCGTAACGAAAAAGTGAGACGAAAAGTCACTTTCCCGATACTGCACATCTAATTTATTAAAATCTCGTTCTCGGTATATATTTTGTGCGTGATGAGATTTCATTCATTCTAGTGTATCTTTGTGTTCTAATTATATCATCCTCGTTCACACGACCATTTTTTTTCTCGATTTCGTTCGTTCTTCCTTTTCTTTAACAGAGTTTCACACAAGCACAGAGAGTTACATCTTTGTAATATGTTTTCTCCACAAATTGAATGGGATTGTTCTGAATGTCGATGTAGTACGACTGATCACCGAAAGTACTATACCAACTGCCAATGAATGTTTACTTGGAGATGCATTGGTTAGAGAAAATCTGGTTTAAACACGAATTATTATCGCCATCGTGACAACTGTAGTTATTGTACACCAGAACTCGAAGAAGACGGATAACAGAAAATGGATGAGAAGCAAGTTGCTATTAAACAACAGTTTCAAGCTTTAGATAATGGTAAGTGACATTACTCTTCTTAGTATACATATGCACCTTTCATTCCATTCATATTGTAGAATAACATCTGTGGTCAAAATGGAGGCGTACTAATGAGTCTTGTGTACAACATACCGGACATGACGTCGAACAAGTACAAGAACTGTATTCTGTGTGTGAGCAATCACTAATAAATTATTGCTTCCATAGGAACAAGTAACATAGAGATAGTACCATCACACCATATTTATCTTCTATGAATTTGCTTTCGGTTACATTATGGTACTTGAAGCATTATCATTCTGAACGTTATATTGCTACAGAATTAATTTTGAGTCGATCAACAGTGAATTATTTCTTATCAGAGGTTGTGGATATTTAACATTCCTGTGTATATCCAGAACTAACTTCATTACCTGCTGATATGTCTAACAGAATCACAGTACATGGACCTGGAGAGCATCATAAATTAATAGTTGATTCAACTTTCATCGCAATTCCCAATCTTATGATTTAGATCAACGTAAAGCATATTATCATTCAAAAAGTCCAACAAATTATGCATTTATAATACAATTAGCTTGTGATTTTTCTCATCGAATAGTAAATGTATCCGAATGTTATCATGGTAGTGTACATGATATTACAATTCTTAGAGAATCGAGGCTATTAGAACATACGGAAGAAACTGTCCAAATTATTGCTGACAAAGGATACGTTGGTGGAGAATATGTGATCACACCAAAAAGTAAACCTCGTAGAAGTGAATTAACAGATGAAGAAAAAAATTTCAATCGTGACATTAGTGCAAAAGCAGCTATTGAAAATATTAATCAACGTCTCAAAACTTATGCTATTTTGGGTAGTGTTTACAGAAGACCCATTGATGATTTTCATAAGACTACCAAGATCGTACATGTTGTTTCTGCTTTATGTAATCTGAACTTGAGTAAGCACCATATTCGTAAGTATGCAACATGATAAGTTAGCGGTACTTCTTGATTAACTATTTGATAATAAGATTTTGTTGGTGCCATTTCATGTTGCTTCAAATTTCTTAGTAAGAATTGGTGTATACTAATAAATTACATGTGCAGTATCTTTAATACAATGATTATAAGAAAATACTTAACAACTCTCGCTCTTATTGATACATATGTCCCAAACGGTACAGAATCATTAGCATTATATACGTACTGCAACTAGTAAAAAAGTCATAAGTTATTCATAAGTCCATGAAGCTATATAAATGACTAAACCGCGGAGCATTAGTCCGACTGGCCATGTACATATATTTTGCATAATAAAAGATATTTTTAAACGCTGTTATCTATATATATCATGTTCAGTGTGTGTCTGTGTGTCTGTCTGTGCTGGGTCAAAGGTGAAAGGTCAAACAAGTCTATAAGGAGAAGGTCCAAGGGCTATTCTATGGGGGTACCCATATGTCCTCAAGGGCTATTCTATGGGGGTACCCATAGGTCCTCAAGGACTATTGTATGAGGGTATCCATATTTCCTCAAGAGCTATTATATGGGGATGCCCATAGGCTATCAAGGGCTATTATATGGGGATACCCATAGGTCCTCAAGGGTTATTCAAGGGAGGTACCCATAGACTCTCAATGGCTATCGAATTGCAGCACGCATAGGTCCTCAAAAGCTATTATATGGGGTAGCCATATGTCCTCAAGAGCTATTTTATGGAGGTACCCATAGTCTGTCAAGGGCTATTATATGAGGGTAGCCATAGGTCCTGAAGGGAGTATGGCAAGAAGAGGATAAGGCAATCTATACATATATAATTCAGTGTGTGTCTGTCTATGCCAGGGTAAGGGTCAAAGGTTAAAGGTTAAAGGTCAAACAAAATTATAACGCGTAAGACTATAAGAGAAGAAGACTATAGAGGATAAGGCCATTAGGCGGAAGCGCTATAAAGGGGTAACCCTATAAAGAGAAAAGGCTATAAACGAGTAAGGCAATAGGGAGGTAAGATTCTAAGAGGATGAAGCTATAAGAGTGTGAGGCTATAAGGGGGTAAAGCCATCAGGTAGAAAGACTCTGACGCTGGAAAACTATAAGGACGAAGCACTATAAAGGGGTACCCCTATAAAAGCAATACGCTAGAAAATGGTGCCCTTATAAAAGCAATACGCTAGAAAGGGGTAAGGCAATAAGAGGATGAAGCTATAATGGGTAAGGCCATAAGGCGGGGAGACTATGAGACTGGAAGACTATAAGGACGAGATGCTATAAAGGGGTAACCCTATAAAGAGAAAAGGATACAATGGGGTAAGGCTATTGAGCGGGAAGACTATAAGGAGGAAGCGCTGTTAGATGGAAAGGCTATAGAGGGGTAATCCTATAAAGGTGAATGGCTATAAAGGAGTAAGGCAATAAGGGAGCGGGGGGGGGGGGGTAAGACTATAAGGGGTAAGGCTATAAAGAGAAAAGCCTATAAAAGAGTAAGGCAATAAGCGAGTAAGACTATAAGATGATGAAGCTATAAGACGGTAAGGCTATAAGGGGGTAGGGCCATAAGGGAATGAGGCGATAAAGGATAAGACTATAAAGAGGTAAGAATATGAGAAAGTAAGGGAATAAGACTATAATGGAGTACGGCTATAAGGGGGAACGCTATAAGAGTGGAGCGGTATAGGACGGTGAAGCTATAAAGCTGTGAGTCTATATAAGAGTAAGGCAATAGGGGGTAAGGCTATAACGGGTTCAGACTACATTGGTAAGACTGTTAGTGGTTAGGCCACAAGAGCTACACGAGCTATTAGCGATATAAGGATATCATTCCGTAGGGCTCCTATGTACATAATATTGAGCGTCTGTATGTCTGTTACCGATTGAAATGTTAAAAGTTTGAGGTCATACGTTAAAGAAAAGAAAGCTGCCGTGCAGTATGCACGAGTTCTCGCTAGTAGTACAACAAATCTCATTCAAAATACATTTGAAATAAATGCCACGATTAAGTCTGAATACATAAATTTTCTCATACATACTTGAATGGTCTCAAAAGCTTAAAACAAGGTTAATTCTATTAAATAGAAAAAAACGAAACTGACATCTTCGTGTCGTTATTCCCCGATATTGTCGTTCTTGTTCTCGTACTCTACGCATATATTCACTTGCATCTACTTCTTGTATTCGCTGCCAACATCGAAGTACACGTTCTATATTTAGTTTTGCAAGATGATATTTACGTATCAATGAAACTTTGTTGATCATATGACTTAATAAAGAAGTAATAATGACTTCAGTTTTCTCTCCTTCATTATTAGAACTATAATTTTTATAATTCGTTATAGCATAAAATGCAACCAATATAAAATAATTTGATGGTAGTCAAATAGTCATAGATACTTATTGTATCGTTGTTGTATTTGTTACAAATATTGCGATTCAAAGTATTATTAAATTACAACTTCAACTAAAACTTCGAAAGTCCAAAAAGTAATAATATTCTATTGTTCCTAATATATACATATATACCAAACGAAAAATTAACGATATCAATTGTTAATCGAATTATTGATCCGGAAAATGCAACAAATTTCAAATAATCCATAGAGCTACATGTCTTATCGCCTTATTCAAACATTGAATATAAAGATTCATATATTGATTGAGTCACAAGCTTATTATACATTTATCAATCATCAACCTCAAAAAATCCATTATAGGTTGTCAAGTTTTGAACAATCTCTTCCATGTTACAAACCCAGTGATCTATGATAGTGCAAACCTCTTTGTGATGAGCAACTGAAGGTGACGAAATAAACACAGTGAGAATTGATTACGTCGGTTCACCGACGTTTCCGCGCCGACTTTTCCGCGCACGACACTTCCGCGCAGCAACATTACCGCGCGCGACACTTCCGCGCAAATGAAGTTTTTCTCGTCTGTTTATGTTGGATTAATGCTGGAGGAATCACCTGGGATGCTAGAGAGATCACCTATGATATCGGTGGGATCACCTGAGATGCTAGAAGAATCACCTGGATTGCTAAAGGAATCATCGGGGATGCTAGAGCGATCGTCTATGATACTGGATGGATCATCTGAGATGCTAGAGGCATCGCCTGGGATGCCAGAGGGATCACTTGAACTGCTGGTAAGCTCATCGGGAACACTACAGGGACCACCTAGGATGCTGGAAGGATCATCTGGAATGCTGCATACATCGCCCGAGATACTAGAGGCATTGCTCTGGATACTAGAATCATCGCCCGACATACTAGACGCATCGCCTGGGATACTAGACGGATCGCCTGAGTTGCTGGAGGGGTCATCTGGGATTCTACAAGCGTCACCAATGGATGCGTTTAGTATCGTAGAAGATGCATATAACATCTCAGGCAATCCTCTAGCATTTTAGGTGATCCCATAGCATTTCAGGTGATCCCATAGCATCTCAGGCGAACCCTCTAGCATCTCAGGTGATTCCAATAGCATCCCAGGCGATCCCTCTAGCATCGCAGGCGATCCCTCTAGCATCGCAGGCGATCCTTCCAGTATCATAGATGATCCCTGTAGCACCATAGGTGATTTCCGTAACATCCCAGATAATTCTTATAGCAATCCAGGTGATTCCTCTAGCATTGGCTCAACATAAACAGAAGAGAAAAAATTCATTTGCGCGGAAGTGTCGCGCGCGGTAGTGTTGTTGCGCGGAAGTGTCGTGCGCGGAAATGTCGGCGCGGAAGTGTCGGCGCGGAAATGTCGTGCGCGGAAACATCGTGCCACGGATTACGTCATGCCTGAGTGTAACAGGAAGCTGTCTATCATGAAAGGGGATATCTGTAATGAACGGGGGAACCGCAAAACCTAGAGTTAAAACTTACACCCTCTATTTTCCTTCGAAAAAAATATGTCAGTTCCACAAAAACTATCATATTTACTTTTCAAAAGTAAATAGTAAATATTTTATTTACCTATTTACTGGTAAAGTAAAAGTAAAGTGCCACCCCTAGTTCATATACGGTATAGAATCAGGAATGTTCTACAGAGCTTTTTTTTCGATTTTCAAAACTTCACAAACTATTGTGTAAAGATATGGCTCCGACAATGTCGCAAAGTATCTTATGATCCTCTCACATATAGTAAAATTGGCAAGACGAGATTATAAGTTATCGATCACTTTTATCATTTGTTTTTACAGTTACTACCGACGCTACTTTTGAAAGAATGAAACAAAATGAGAAACAATTGGTTTCAAAAGACTGCAGAAATCAAGATTTCTAGAGTCTCCAAAGAGGTTTAAAGACTTCACAAAGTATCATCAAACTTCGCAGGACTTCAGAACTTGACAAGAGCTTAGTAGTTACATGAAGCTACTCTGACATCTCTATTGTTACCTTTTATAAGTGGATAACTACAATCAATAATCATTCAAATCAATTTAGCCAACGATTTCTCTTGTTCAAACTAGTGTCATGAGTATCCTAATCACTAGAATATTTTAAAATAGCGTAAAACTTTTACAGATATGGCTCCCACACTTCAGATGTTCATAGAAAAAAGCTATTAATACAGTTTGTGTGAAATTAATATGCGAAACACGATGCAGAGTCAGTGGTCCTAATTCTGCAGCCAAAAATTTTGAATTAGTAGTAATTGGTTGATAAGTCTCGGCTAATAATCATTGTGTGGAGCTGATCATTATTTTTCTGGATAGAGTGAACATTTATGCATCGATCCAAGTGTATTTGATCACATAGTGAGCAGTCTCTATTTCACATGAGCCATAAGAACACAAGAAATGTCGCATTTTATTCAGTTTTCCAACTGTTCCAAATTATATCGTTGAGGGTATTTTTTGCTTCTAATGCTCCCATTCACATGTCGAACGTAATGTATTTCAGAGTAGAGCTAGAATTTATGAACAGAACTCTCTTTATATGTGATTGGAAAAATAAAGCATTGGATCCATCTCGCGTCAATGCCTATGTTCGTGCTACTCTGAGTATAGAT